CCCAGCGGGCGGCCCATCTGCACCCCAGCACATCCTGTCTTTGCCCTCGGAGGCTCATCCCCTCTCTGCCTCAGTTTCCCCAACTGCAGATGGGGTGGTGGTTCCTCTCACGCACAACCTTGGGGGCTGGTGAGAGCAGGGGTCCGTGGCAGCCTGTGACTGGCCAGGGCCCACAGGGGTGGGTGCTAGGGAGGTGTTTGCAGGAACTCCCACCTGGGCAGCACCTCAGAAAGGCCTGGGAGGCTGGGGTGAGGGCCAGGCCAGACTCACACGGGGGACTGCTGGCCACTGTGGCACATGTGGGGGTGGGGAGAGGAGCAGCTGAGACTGGAGGGAGAGGGTGCACCTGGTGTTCAAACAGAGGTGACTCTCCCCAGGCCTCAGTTTCCCCACCTGTCCAGGAAGGGGTGACTGCCAAAAGCCCCCTCTGAGCTGGGCCATGGCTAGCGTCCTCAGGACCTGCCCCCCACTCCGTGTCTCCCAGGCCCCAGGGTGGGGGTCGGACTGGCAGGACTCCCCACGTGAAGCTGAGATGCTTTGGTGTCTAGCAGAAACTCCATGGAGAGAAGGGACGGCTTACCTGGGCTCTGAGGTCATGCGGCTGCAAGGGAAGCGGGCGGGGTCAGCCTGGGCCCCGCCTCCCCACCGCCTCACCCCTGGGGTTGGCCCCGAGCAGGCCACAGGTGGGCAGCACAGGGGTTGTCATGTCTTCCCAGGCTTCCTGCCCCCATTGGAAGCACCACGTGTGCAGGGGTGTGGACCTGGCCCGAGATCTGAGGACAAACTCCCCAGAACTGAGAGGAGACCGCCTGTACCTCCGAGGTGGAGAAGACGTGACTCTCGGTCCGGTAGATGCCGATGGGGATCTCGGCGCTGGATGAGCAGAGCTTTTGGAAGAGGCGCCCGTAGGTGCGGATCCATAGGTCATCCTCGGTGACCTTCATCTGTGGGGTACAGCCCTGAGCAGGTGGCACCCAGGCCTGGCCCCCCCACCCGCTGAGACACCTGCCCGCCACCCGCCCGGCACTTACGGCACAGAGGTAACCAGAGCCGGGTGTGGTGTCCAGCCCCAGCAGCAGCCTGGTAATGGTGATCATGTAGTCCTTCACGAAGGACTGGTCAGCGAGGGAAGGGTGCGTGAGGGGTGCATGCTGGTGCGGGCTGCCCCCCAACAGCCTCCCACAGGCATAGAGGCCAGCCAGCCTGAGCACCGAGCGACTCGTGGGCCCCAGCTGGGATGCTTTCCTGGGATGCGTAAGGGCAGGAGAAGACGAGAGGCCCCAGACAGAGCCCAGGTGGCCCGGGAGAAGGCCAGGCACGTTTGGGGGAGAGCCCTGCGGACCCTATGGTTACCCCAAGGACGGGCCCGGGGGCCTCCCTGGACCCAGGGGCTTCAGAGGGAGGCCCACCACCTAGGACTGCGCAGACCCTCCCTCCCAGTGGCACAGGCCGCTCCTGCCGCCTCTGCTGACCTGGTAGAGCAGTGTGTCCAACATGCTGATGCTGAAGACGCGGCCGGCGGCGAACGGCAGGCGGAACATGAAAGCCAGGTTGGAGCCATTCTCACGCTCCCTCTGTGGGAAGGGTGTCCTCAGATGGGCTGGAGCCCATGGCCAGAGCAGCATGGGGCAGCCATGGGGGTGGGGTGTGCACATGTGTGGGGTGTGTGTGCACGTGCCTTGTGTGTGCGCATGTGTGTGCACGTATATGCGTCTGCACACATGTCTGTGTGCGTGAGCATGTCAGCACACGTGTGCATGAGGTTTCACCTGTGAGCATTTGTCCACACACGTGTATGCCTGCATGCATGTGAATGCATCCGTGCGTGTTTGCATGGGTGAGCATGTGTCCACACATGCGCTGTCTGCACGTGTGTGAATGTGTCCGTGAATGTGTCTGCACGTGTGTGAATGGGTGCGTGTGTTTGCATATGTACACAAACCCACAGGCAGCCGACCCACAGGCCCAATCACCCAGCTGTGGTTTCCCAGACGGGGCCCGGCCTGGAGCCGCAATTTGGGACTCTGGTGAGAATGCGACCCCAGGCGCACCCTGGTGTGCACTTGGTTCAGCGCCTGCTGGTGCCGCCCCCAGGTTCACAGGAATCCTCGCAACCCCGTCTCAAGCTTGTGTTTCGTGAGTCCGAGGATGCTGGGATGGGGGGCGGTGAGTGGGATGCGCTGTTCTTGGCTTCCCTTGTCCCTTGTCATGGCTTTCACCATGAGGAGGGAGGAGCCCTGGGCCACAGTGGACCCACCGCAGGGTCTCTCTGGGACCTCCGTGCCGAGTGACCACCACACACTTCTTGGCTTGAAACCGCACACGCTCCCTTCTGGTGCAGTTCCAGAAGGCAGGGGTGGGAAGCGAGTTGTGCAGAATAGATGGGCCCCGGCAAGTCTCATTCCCTCTGGAGGCTCGGGGAGACTCCTCCTCCAGCTCCCATAGCCCTCCTGCCTGGGTGAGTGGCCCCTTCCTGTCACAGCCGGGGACATCTTCCCGTCTCTGATGGGGCCTCCTGCTTCCATGCCCCCAACCAGAGAGTCCAGGAGAATCTCCTGCCTCAAGTCACATCTGCAGTCTCTTTTGTCATGCAAGGTCATGTATCCACAGGCTCTGGGGGCTAGGATGTGGCCATCTTTGGGGGCTAGGATTCAGCCAGTGGCACCCATGTGGACCACAAGTCTTGTTGGGACCGGAACACACTTCAAACAAAAAAGAAGCCACAGCGTTCTGAGGAGCGCAAACCACCCAGATGGAGTCCGTCTTGTTCATGCTACTTCCTGCATTGGCCATCCTCCTTGGGGAAAATGCCACAGAAGGAAACAGAAGGATGGACCACCCCAGCAAAAGCCTGCTTCCTTCGAGTCCTTCCTTCCTCCTCTGTGACCCAAGGTGGGCATGTCTGCAGGCACAGTGGCATCGCAGGCGGCACGGAGACTGCGAGTTGGCTCTGTGTGGCTTCCACCATCCTGGGGAGGACGGGTGCTGAGGACCAGCTTCGAGATGCAAGTGTGTGGCCACGGCAGCCCTGCAGACGCTGCATGTGCTCACGCTGGCCTCCATGGCTCCAACAGCACATTCTGAAGATGAGCAGTGGAATTCCTGGTAACTAAACATTTTAATCCCCCGTACTCAGAACACCCCTAAACAGGGAACATAAGCCTTGACATGTCCAGAGGTGTGGTAGGAATGAGACAGCAGCCTCTCTCAGGAGCTTCCGCTGAGTGTCTTTCTGCTCTCTGACACGAGACCTGCAAATGACAGCCCTGGAGGTACATGAGGGTTATACCAGCTGTGTGTGCCTTCGAGTTCCTGGTGACAGTGAGATTGCATGGGCCCTTCCCAAGGACAGCTGGGCTGGGACACCTCCTGGACGAAGGGGCCAGGACAGGTGTGAAACAGCCCCGGGATGAGATGGCGACATTCCAACAGCAGGCAGAAGATGTCAAACCAGGAAAGCCACTGAGGAACCTTGGGTGAGGGGATGAGGGGAGGTGCACTGGAGGGGAGGAGCGATTGTTCTGTTCACACCCAGGCTTCTGGGAGGCTTCCAGTGTGGATCTCGGGAAGATGCCACTCGCATGGGAGCTCCTTATACGTTTTTTATAAATGGGGGTGCACCACCTTTTTTTTGAGTCGAGGTCTCACTCTGTCACTCAGGATGGAGTGCAGTGGCATGAGCACGGCTCACTGCAGCCTTGACCTCCTGGTCTCAGGCGATCTTTCCACCTCAGCTTCCTGAGTAGCTGGGACTACAGGCACATGCCACCATACCCAGCTAATTTTTCTGATGTTTTGTAGAGATGGGGTCTTGCCAAGTTGCCCAGGCCAGGCTTGAATTCCTGGGCTCAAGCAATCCTCCCACCTTGGCCTCCCAGGATACTGGGATTGCAGGCGTGAGCCACTGAGCTGGGTGCAGCTCATCATTTTCTGCAACCATCTCTTGGCAAGATGGCCTCATCTCAGTGTCTGGAACCTTCTCAATTTCCACTTTTCCATGACATGAACGTAGAAGTGGTGCATCTGCTGCTGATGGTGTGCACGGCAGTCCTGTCCCCTCTGCCATCCTGCCAGGACTTTCCCTGGAGCCGTCTTCCTCTTCCCACCATGCCAGGATGAAGAAGAGCCAGCTGCAGGGATCTGGGTAACTCTTTTTTACTTTTTTTTTCTTTTTTAGTTAGAATCTCATTCTATTGTCCAGGATGCAGTGCAGTGGCATAGTCAAGGCTCACCACAGCCTCGACCTCCTGGGCTTAGGCAATTCTCTTGCCTCAGTCTCCCAAGTAGCTGGGACTACAGGCGTATGCCACCATGCCTGGTTAATTTTTTTATTTTTTATAGCGATGAGGTCTTATCATGCTGCCCAGGCCTATCGAGAACCCTTGGGCTCAGGCAATCCTTCTACCTCAGCCTCCCAAAGTGCTGGGATTGCAGGCATGAGCCACTGAGTCTGGCCTCTTTTTTAAATTTCTTTTTTATCTTTGAAGTGGAATCCATATTATTATAAACCCACGCCCTTTTATAAGCATAAAGTGCCACAAATTTCTTCTAAAGAAGGAAGATGGGGCTCTGCCTCTGCCATGCCTATGCCCCACATAGGGTCAGAGAAGTGGCCCCCAACCCAGGGTTGAGAATGTCGAGTCTGTGCTGAGTCCTCAACCCCTGGGCTCTGGTGGGAGGGGCAGAGCCGCCAAGAGTCTCTGTTCCCTTCTCCACCCCTCCAGGCCTTGGCAGGCTGACTTAGCACAGGACGGGGGCCTCACCTTCTCCAGCTTGGAGAGAGCCAGGGAGTAGCTGTCCTTGGCACGGAACTGCATGAAGCGCATGTTGGAAGGGTGTGTGAGCTCCGTGGTGATGCTGAGGCTGGGGAAGAGCCTGTGGGGGGCACAGGCTCAGGGAAGGGGGGTCGTAGACGTGGCTGGGGATCTTGGGGAGTCCAGAGGGTCTTGTAAGCTTGGATGTGGGGAGTCTCTGGGGGTCCCATGGACATAGATGTGAGGGGTCTCAGGAAAGGCCCCGCAGTCATGGCTGTGGGAGGTCTTTGGGGTAGGGTCCTGTGGTCACAGCCCTGGGGGGGTCTCAGAATGGGTCCTGTGGTCACGGCTGTGGAGGGGTGTCTCAGAGTGGGTCCCATGGCCATGATGGCTGTGGGGGTCTCAGGGCGGGTTCCGTGGTCACGGCTGGAGGGGTCTTAGTGTGGGCTCCACAATCGTAACTAAGGGGGGGTCTCAGGGTGGGTCCTGTGATCATGGCTGGAGGGCTCGGTGAGAGGTGCCCTGGACCGTCAAGGGGCCGGGTGGAGACAGGGTCACCCCTTGTCGCCCCCCCGCCCCTGGATGCGCACCGGAACATGGTCTGCACGTTGACGATGGTCTTGGCGTCCGCCATGTAGTCCTCCTCTGCGCTCATGGTGCTCTCCTTGTCCACCACCACCAAATTGTCAGCGTAGATGATCCCGCACTGCAGCAGGCTGTCCAGGCTGGCGGGACCGGGCACCGGTAGCCAGGATGCAGCCCACCCCCGGGCCCGAGACCCACGATCCCTGGCCAGGGAGGCAGAAGGCCTCGCCCTCCCCTCCCCACCCTGTCAGGGGCCACCTGGCTCTTCCATGTAAGGGACACTTTGAACGAGGAGGAAACGGGTGGGAGTGGAGACCCCCCCTTACTGAGGAAGGGGCTGCCCCTGCCATAGTTGGATCCTATCTTACTTGTCCACAGAGCCCTCCATGTAGTAGACCATAGGGAAGCAGCAGATAGCTTCCAGGAAGTGGTGGTCAGGCCTGTGGGGACAGAGGTCATGGTGTTGCCCTCCCCTACACAGGAGAGCCCTGTCCGTGATGAGCAGAACTGCATGCACGTGAAAATTGCAGCACGTGGAACTTGGGGTTCAAGCAGGGACCCCAAAACCACAGCATGTGGGACCCAGGAGTCCAAACAGGGTCCCCAAAACCACAGCATGTGGGACCCAGGGGTCCAAGCAGGACCCTAGAACCACAGCACATGGGACTAGGGGTCCTCTTGGCCAACAGGGCTTTTCTTGTTTTTACCAAGGGGAGACAGAGACCCCGGAGGATAGGGCTTGCTGAGGTCAGATAGCCACGACTGGACCCTGGGCTCTATCTACCAGCACCGGGTGGGGGTGGTGGGGAGTCCCCTAGACAAAAAGGTGCTGGTGGAAGGTAGGGCCATGTGCCGCCCTACCCTAGGACTCACGGTGGCAGGGGGGCAGGAGAAACTGTGAGGAGGGAGAAAGAGTGAGGAGGAGGGAGGCCAGAGCAAGGGAGGCATGGGGGCAAGGCGGCGCAGTGGGAGGGGGTGTTGAGGGGGATAGAGACGTGTAGGGCGGCAGAGGCTTCCTTCTAGCAGGGGGTGACCAAGCCAGAGGCCCTGAGGCCTGTGCCTGGCCTCCCAGGGCCCAGGGCGGCAGGCGGGCCAGCCTCGGCACAGTGTGGGGCTCACTTATTGTCCAGCAGCAGTACGATGGGGTTGAGCTCCTTGCGCGACCTGTAATAGGCCCGCAGTGGCACGATGAAGTTGTACAGCCCATTCCCGGCCGTCTCAGCTGACACGATGATCAGCTTGTTCTTGAACCCATAGGCTTTGGCATCTTCATAGCTGTTGTGCTTGCAGCCCTGGGAAGGGACGCGGGAGTCAGTTCCTCCCAGACAATTCGCCAGACATCCCCAGGACACCTGCTCATCAGCCATTCAGCTGTGGCCTGCATGAGGTGCATGGGAGCCACAGGCACCGCCCGATGCCACGGCTGCGCCCACAGGCAGTGTCAGGTCAGCCTGTGGCACCCGGCAGGGCAGGCAGCCAGGGCCAAGGCGGGGAGGTCACCTCAGGCTGGGGAGGGCCGTACCTGCAGCTAAGGACACAGGAATGAGAGTAGGTATGTGTCGTGTGTATACATGTGTTTCTAGTTCTGTCCACCGAGGTCCCTAGCAGGGGTGCCCCAGTAGCAGGGAGAGGCTGCATGCCCAGGTCTTGGTTTCTAGTTTTTTGTTTTTTTTGAGTCTGGGTCTTACCCTGTTGCCCAGGCTGGAGTGTGGTGGCATGATCATGGCTCACTGCAGCCTTGACCTCCTGGGCTCAGGTGATCCTCCCGCCTCAGCCTCCCAAGTAGCTGGGACTACAGGCATGCACTGCCATGTCCTGCTAATTTTTTGATATTTTGTAGAGATGAGGTCTTGCTATGTTGCCCAGGCTGATCTTGAACTCCTGGGCTTAAGTGACCCTCCCATCTCGGCCTCCCAAAATATTGGGATGATAGGTGTGGCCCATTGCGCCCAGCCTTAAGCCTTGGTTTCTAAACATCATTTTCCACCGCAAGGAATGTTCCCTGGAGAAGTGGTTGATTTCAGACAGGAGCAAGGGAAGGCCCGGATGAGGCAGGATGCACAGCTGTGCTCAGAGGGCGAAGGACGTGTGGAAAGCCCCTGGGAGCCAGTTCAAAGGAGCCCACAAGCCTGGCTCGGTGGCTCAGCCTGTAATCCCGCACTTTGGGAGGCTGAGATGAGTGGATTGCCCGAGCCCGCGGGTTTGAGACCCGCCTGGGCAACTTGGTGAGACCTCATCTCTACAATAAATAAAAAAAATTAGCCGGGCGTGGTAGCGTGCACCTGTAGTTCCGGCTACTCGGAAGGCTGAGGCGGAAGGATTGCGGAGCCCAGCAGGTTGAGGCTGCGGTGGCCGAGAGCGACCACTGCACTCCAGTCTGGGCAACAGAGTGAGACTCCAACTAAAAAAAAAAAAAGGAACCCACAAAAAGTCCAGGAGGGTCTGAGTGTCGGAATCAGTAAGGACCTGCAGAAAGTGAGCCAGGAGGGCCCGGGGAGAGAATGGTGAGTCCTGCTTCATGCTAACAAAATAACGAAAGGAATTCTGGATCAGACAGTCATTGACTGACACCGAAACTATGGGCAGGGCCCCATGGAGGAGTGATGTGTTACCTGGTCTCAGCCCACAAATGACTTGTCAACTACAGAGGGAAACAGTCATTTTACAGTAGGAAAATCTGGTCAACGCCACCTTGTCATGAGATCAAAGTTGTTGTTTTTTTTTTAGTTTAGGGTCTCACTCTGCTGCCCAGGCTGGAGTGCAGTGGCACGTTCGTGCCTCGATCTCCTGGGCTCAAGCAATCCTTCCACCTCAACTTCCTGAGTAGCTGAGACTCCAGGTATATGCCACTATGCCTGGCTAATTTTTTGACTTCTTTGTAGAGACAAGGTCTCACTATATTGCCCAAGCTGATCTTGAACTCCTAGACTGAAGCAATCCTCCCACCTCAGCCTCCCAGAGTGGTGGGATTATGGGTATGGCCACTGAGCCCAGCAAAGTTAAACATCAACACGCGGACTCCCCTGAGAGCACTGACCCCAAACGCAGGTGGAATCCCCCACAAGGAAAAACGACGGCCCACCCAAGGCCCCTGCTACTGACAAGTGGTCCCTGCTCTGCAAAAACCTTAAGGTCCAGCGACCCTAGGGAACGTTCCGATTAAGGGAGGCCAGAGGCTGGGCATGGTGGCTCACGCCTGTAATCCCAGCACTTTGAGAGGCTGAGGCAGGAAGATCGCTTGAGGCCAGGAGCTCAAGACCAGCCTGGGCAACGTATCAAGACCTCATCTCTACAAAAATTTAAAAAGGGGGATACAGAGATAGGAGAGCTAAATGCAGTGTGTGGCCTTGAACAGGTTTCTGATGGGGTAGACACTGCCACTAGAGCCATTGAGACGGTCAAGACCGTCAGCACAATCTGAATCTGGACTGTGGGTCAGACACCAGTGCTGGGCCATGTCCCTGTCCAGATGCTGATGACTGAATGTGGTTATGAATGACGGCCCTCATTCTTGGAAAACGATGTGTTTAGGGACAGGACCTACACACCTGTTCTGGCTCTCACCTGTTCTCAGAGGATAGCGCAGGATGGTAAGGGCTGGACAGGCAGGGGTGAGCACCTGGGGAATTCCCTAAGGTTCTAGGGTTTCCTTAAGAGTCCTTATGGTTTTGCAGAAAGTTTGCAACAACATCAAAACGCAGTCACCAAAGAGAAGTCAGGGCAGGTATTCTAGCCCAGAGTGGGTGTCGGAGGCCAGTGAACTCTGGGGACGACCCGGCCTTACCTTGTCCAGCCGCAGGCAGCAGAAGGGGGCTTTCACAGGCAGCAGGTGGCACAGGGTGGGGGAGCTGCCGATGTAGGGCGAGTTGGGGGGGTAGCCCTTCACGTACCTGGGGGAGACAGGCGCCCTCAGAAACAGCGTGGTGCAGCCACACCCTCCCAGGCACCTGCTGGGGACTTGAGGGTGTCTTCTCTGCCCCGCCTATGGCCCCATTGCTCTGGGTCACCTGCAGCTGGCCCAAGGTGACCTTCTCTGCCCTGGGCTACCTGTGTCTAGGACCCAGTGTGCGATGGGTGGTATTTGGGGTGGCCGCATGGGTGCCAGCCCTTGAGGACCCATGTACCCAACAGGTCAGCAGCCAGTGAAGGCCAGGACTTTGGGGGACTTGAAGCAAGGGTGGGGTGCAGGGGCCCTTCACTGCTGTCCCCCGACCCGGGCAGTCCTGGGCCCCTCATGGTCTGCCCAAGGCTACTCCAGGGTGGGGCAGAAGGTGGGTTGTGCCCTGGGCCTGCTCCTCACTGAGAGTCTGGGGTGAGACTCCACCCGACACAGATTCACGGCGTAGACATTCACACATATACACAAGGAGAGGACAAGCAGACACAAACAACGTAAGTACACACACAGAGAGAGGACACACAGAGACACACACACATATAACACATACATGTGCACAGGAACATGGATATGGACACACACATGCACAACATATGAACAGGCCCACAGATACGGCACACACAATGTACACCACACGCAAGGATACACACAGATGCACACAGCACACACCCGGCACCGCTGTGTCCCTGTGGTCTCCCTGTCCCTCCCCTATGAGCTTGCACAAGCCTTTTAGTCACAGGAAGAAGTTCAGGGCTTTCACACTGCTGCCCTTCTGGTACCCACGCCCAGCACACATGCGGAAGCAGGCTCCTGGGCCCTGGGCTCTTCTCTGTCTTCCTTTCTGGGCCAGGAAGCTCCCAACAGGCTGTCACTCCATCCTGACGGTGCCCAGCACACATGGCAGCTGGAGGGTTGGAGGGGGGAGGTGGTGGCCACCTGGCCAAGACCTCCCAGCTCCATCTCCAGTCTCCGAGGTCAGCCCTCTGCCTGTCTCAGAGTCTGGGAGCCCCACCAGTGCCCCTGACCCCAGAGCCATTCCCCTGCAGCTGACATGTCATTAAGGTATGTCGACCCCACCCCAGAGGCAGAGACCAGAGTGCAGGGTGGGGGACAGGACCTGTGGTGGACACCTGTCTATCCTGGCTGAGACCAGGAGGCTAAGCTACTGAGGACAGAGTGGGTTTCGTGACACGAGGCAGGAAGCCTTGCCCCAACCAGGCCAGGATGACAGTGGGGGAATCACCCATGGGTGGTTTCGGCTGGCCCTGCTCAGAGGACACCCACCCCACCTGAGGCATGATGACCTAGGATTACCGCCTAGCTCCACACCAGCTAGATGGGTGGCTGAGCCATCATGGGCTGGCAAGATGGGCAAGATGGCCTCTGTCTAAACTGTCCCCAGGAGTCCCTACCAGTTCCCACGTTGGGGGGGGTCTGTGAGCCCCAAGGGAGGGGCTGCACTCCATCAGCAGTGTCCCCAGCCCAGCAGACCTCAGTGCACCAAGTGACAGGGACCATGGAGCCATGACCTGCCTCTCTGTGCAGCCCCCACAGTATCTGCTCTACTCCCTCTGTAGTGTCTCCCCTACCTCTTGACATGTCCTTCCCCTTCCACTGAGGGTATATCCTCTTCCCCCTTACCCTGTGGACATCTTGTCCCTCAACCACCATGGGTGTCTCTCCCCACTGCAGGTGTCTCCTTTCCCCCCCATGTGGGTATCTCACCCCTCCCCATGGGCATCCCCTCCCTCCCTGCTTTCCAGCTCAAGGCAGCACTCACTCCACCACGGACAGCCCCTCATCATCTGACGGTGTCACCTCATCCTCCGATTGGTCACTCAGCAGGTCGCAGGGCAGCAAGGCGGAACTGTCAGCCAGCTCCAGGACAGGCGCGATACTGGGCCGCCGGCTGCCTGAGCCATTCTCCGTGGGCAGTGCCAGCTTGCTGGCCCCACCACCCCCAGCGCTCTGTGAAGGTCGGCGATCCGTGCTTTGCAGGTCCATGGCCACCGTTCCTGGAAGAGCCCTGAGCTTGGCTCGGCCCTGCCCGCTCCCAGGGGTATGACTCTCAGAGTAGGGGTGCCCCTGGTCATGTCCCAGCACCCGTTCTCCAGCTGTGTGGCCGAAGGACATTTCCATCTCTTTGAGCCTCAGTTTCCCCCTTTGTATGATGGGGATAGTGGCCTCCTGGGGTGGTGGTGTTGAACAAAGACCCAGGGTCCCAGTTCTGAGCTGCTTTAATGTCAGTGCCAAAGGGTGATGGCACCTGGCAGCTTGAGGGTGGTGGCACCTGGCAGCCTGAGGGTGGTGGCACCTGGCAGCTCTCAGGCTGCGGGCCGAGCAGGGGGCAGCCTGACTCCAGGTGGCAGTGGCCATGGGCGAGGAGGACACGGAGTGGCCTGGCCATGGAGTACCTGCTGGAGCAGGCTTTGTGGCTCCTATGGCAACCCAGGGCCATCAGGTGGGGGCTGGGGAGAACCCAGAGTGTGGCCCAAGGCCTCTGTGGATGCAGAACTCCAGGTGGGGAGGGCTGCTGGAGTCACCGTGGCTTCCTGAGAGCCAACTGGGTATGTGCCCGAGGTACACATAATGGATGGTGGTGTGGCTGGATGGTGGCGACCTCCAAATCCCCAAACTCTCCAGCCAGGCTGGGCCACGAGAGCCAGTGCCACCAATGGGGCCAGCGATGTCCAGGGCCTGGCTGGTGACTCATACCACCATGCCTCTAAACCCAAGGGCCCCATGAATCTTGGGGACAGTGCCACACTGAGTGTGCCACTTGGGGCCCCAAGCAACAGCCATGTACCAGCTCCCCCAGTTGGGCATGTAGTAGGGGTTCAATAGTGTGACTCACAGCTTAGGTCAAAGCTTAGGCTCATTAATGCATGGAAATGGCAATAGCCTGGTCCAGCTTGAGGTTCTGTGGCCTGAGTGGCATCCAGGCCTATCCCTGCTCCCTAACTGTCCCCTGGGAAAGCCTGCCCAGGGAGAGGTGGCACACAGCACGGTGGATGCCCTTGGTGCCAAGGCTGGACCTGCCTGGCACACAGTGGCCCAAGAGAGAGCCCTGAAGGCACAAGAAGGGACCAGGTCCCTTGCTAGATTTTTTCTTTTTTTGAGTTGGAGTCTCACTCTGTCGCCCAGACTGGAGTGCAGTGGCCGCTCCCGGCCACCGCAGCCTGGACCTGCTGGGCTCCGGCGATCCTTCCGCTTCAGCCTTCCAAGTAGCTGGAACTATAGGTGCGCGCTACCACACCCGGCTAATTTTTTGATTTATTGTAGAGGTCTCACCAAGTTGCTCAGGCGGGTCTTGAACCCGCAGGCTCAGGCAATCCACTCACTTAAGCCTCCCAAAGCACGGGATTACAGGCTGAGCCACCGAGCCCGGCTGAAAATAAGATTTTAAAAATATAGTTTACAGCCTGGTGTGGTGGCTCATGCCTATAATCCCAGCGCTTTGGGAGGACAAGGCAGGAGAGTCACTTGAGACAATGAGTTTGAGACCATCCTGGGCAACATAGTGAGACCCTGTCTCTAGTCAAAAAAAAAAATGAGATAGGGCAACCCCTTCGGGCCCCCTCTCACTGTGGAAGCTTTTCTGTCCTCTCAATAAATCCTGTAATCCCGCGCCTTGGGAGTTTGAGGTGAGTGAATTGCCTGACCCCGCGGGTTCGAGACCCGCCTGGGCAACTTGGCGAGACCTCATCTCTACA